GAGCGGGGAGAAGGCCGGACCCCCACAAGGGCGGGAGGGCGCAGCGGAACCGAGACGCAAGGACCCTCGGCGGAGACAGAGACCGGGGGTAAGCCTATTCCCCAGCTGGGGAATTCCCCAGGGCTAAGCCGGGAAGAAGAGACCCAGGGCGGGGCCGTGGTCCCCGCGAGTGGAGAGTTTGGGGGAACTCGTCCCCCTCCACTATCCAGGGACTGACGTCCCTGTCTTAGGGCCCTGGGTCGGGGCTCGGAGTGTGGGAGGGCCCGAGCCCCCTTCCCGGCCCATCGGAGCACGGGCCGACACCGAAAGCAGAAGAAGAAGAAGAAGCTTGCCAAAGATGTCATGGAGGAGTATCCTCTCAACACCAAGATAGAATTACCCAAGAAAAACACAGAAAGGGCGGAAAAGAATGTAAACAGACAATACTGCACTGTGAGGAATATCAATATATTAGGTGACAGTGAGGGTGCCTACAAAGTCAAAGGTGTTACGGTCAAACAAGTGAACTTAGAAGTCAAAGTTCACAACAATTTACATGATGGAACAGAAGTTTGAGTGTGCACTTTTTTTGTAAAAGCTTTTTATAAATTGTAAAAATAATAATAATAATAATAATTAAAAATGTTCCTGGTATTTTTATAATCTTGTGGAAAAGGGAAGAATATAGCTTTGAGTGGTGGGCAGCAATGCATCCTCCCATGCTTCAACTCACAACTGAGCTACCTCATTCAAAGCAAAACTGCATTGAGACACTCAAGGCAGAAACTATTGAAATTTTCATGTGGTATCTCTACTACACCACTTTCCTCCCAGCATTCCTGGGAGCCAAATATTTAGGCAAACTCGAGTGATTCTAATAAGAACAGTTCAATCTAATGGGGCTTAATAATGCTGGAAGATGAATGGTGCAGTGCAGCATCCTTATATCAGACACAGTGTTTAGAAAAGATATCATATGAGAGCTGGAATCTATTCAAATCCACTCTAAACTGCTTTCCTTTGTTCTTCCTTTATGCTGGGTGACATATGCAGAACGTGACAGTTTTGTTCAAGAGTGCAGGCACACACAGCCAGTTCTGAAGCTAATGCCAGTATCTTCTCAATGGATGATCTGCATAAAAGTGAAATGCTGTTTGAGAAAATCACCCCATGCAGAGCACCCACACATAGCAGTGTATATCACTTACACCCCATGTTAAAAGGGAATTAAGTTGTGCTCCGCACCTTCTGCACTGGAGTGATTGTCACTCGCGATTGAGTATAAATCGTCTATGCTCCTTTTTAGAGATTCAGGGTGAAATCCTGGCCCCATTGAAATCAATGGCAAGACTCCCACTTATTTCTCTCTGACTCTTTGAACTGCCAGTCCCATTATCTCCTTTCAACTCAGTGACATTTGGAACCCAAAGTCATCTGTCTGATCAACTAGTCAGTAGCAGCAGCAGCAGCATATTCCTCTATTCTATGTTATAAGACTGAAACAGCTTTCATTGAGGAGACTCCACAAAAACCAATGTAAAGAACTATTTGGAGCCAACTAGACAAGGGAGTTGTCAACTCTGGGGTTGCAGACAGTTGTTGGTAGGTCACAATGCCCTTTCCATATTGTTAAATGGGCTGGAGTCTCAGCTAAATCCCAGTTACTGTATATGGGGGGCAAATCGTAGTGTTGAGAACCATTGATAAGGATAAGCAGTTGAATCGTTCTAACCGTTGCCTACAATGATCTTTAGCACTTTTGTATTGTAGTGTGCTACATTTTCATGGTGCAGAACAAACATTAATGAATCTCTTAGCATTATTCCCAACTCATATTTGATTTTGATGAAATACGAAAACTTTTCTCTCCTCACATTGTCAGATATGGTACTGATGGAATAATTGCTCTACTGCATGATGTACTAGAAATCATGTGTCTGGAGGTGCACTGGAAATCATTTGTCCATAAGCACCCCATGCCTTTTATTTATGAAACCATTGCCTTATCTGTGATCTCCAAACTTATCAATCACTCCTAGGTGCACTTAAACTGTATGATGTCTGGAACACACGCTCAGCTTCCAAACTTTGAGTTCCAGCTCTGTGCAAACTGGAAATAAAGCAGCTGACAGTCTCTGCAAACTTTAGGGTTTTAGGTTTCCCACATTATTTAAAAACCCACAGAACAACACGTGTCTTCATTTTTCAAAAAGTTAACACTATATATATATTTAATGGAGGTGGGGGGGGGGAAATCGAAAACTTGCTTTGACTGCAGTGGAGCAACAGCAACTCTGGTGCTTAATATTTCCACTCACACTGTATAAGGTTCCATTTGTAAACAGTTTACAAATTATTAATAGATGTTTCAGTAAAGAATCCTCATAAAGGAGGCCAGATTCATTATCCATTTTTATAAAAGGGGGAACTGGGGTACAGAGAAGGGAACTGACTTGCCCAATATGACCCATTGACAGAGCCAGGAAGAACCTTGGGTCTCCAGAGTCTAGGGACTGTTCACTAGCCACTAAGCTACAATGCTTAAATCAGTTTTAGAGGCCCACAGTTTGCTCAATCACTTGATGCATTCTACCATATCTTATGTCTGCAACATGCTTCTAACACCGCTGCTCATGCCTGGTAGTTCAGGCACTTGGCTTACCACTACATACTCATACCAAAGTCACACAGACATGCCTAAAACCCCCCAATATTTTTCAGCTGTCTAAGATCTGATATTATTCTTCTAGGTCTAGTAGGCATTTGGCAGATGTTTGTCTGTTTTCCCACAGATTCAACAGCAACTTGATAGTGTGTGTAAATATAGTATGTAATGTGCAATTTCGGAGTAGAGGTGAGATCTAATTATTCCACTTAAATGTTTACAGGGGGCCTGCCTTTTCTCCATATGATGCATGCAGACTGCTCCCACCACTGATCATTTAACTATAAGCTCTGCATGGCAAGTACTGTCTGCCTTGTGTTCTGAACAGCACTGAGTTGGTTAGTGCCTAACACCAGATATATCATTGTGTGAAATGGGAATGTTACGCATATGTTTATGGAAAGTGGCAGTAGATCCACCTGACTTCACACACTGTGTAATAGTAAAACTTGGGATTCCTCCTGTGCAGTGTTCACAAAATAAATACAGGGACCATCCCCTGCAGATTAATTATGACAAAACTTCACAATGGGGAGCTGCTTATGGAAAATTAAAAAGCCTGCAAAATTTGGGATGTTCCTTCACCTCACTTTGATTGTCAATATCCGATCTGTTAGACGCACACTTAAAATGAAAGTGTTGAAGCTCTGGATTTGTGACTTAATCATTTTATTCACAGTTGTCAACTATGTTTTATATCTGTTGATGATAAATGTGGGTGGTATTTCATTCAGATATGTAGCACCCACGTAGTCTCAGCTTCTGCAGTTTGCTTATTAATGAATTATAAATCTTACTGTATTTTTTTAATGTACCGAGGTTAGTACAAATGAAACCTTGGAAGATAATTTTCTCTTGTGTATTATGGTGCTGTATAAACAGAGACAAGATGCGATGTTACAGTTCTCTATACTTGTACAATTGCTTTAACTTGATGAGGCTGAGGAAATTATATATTTCTGTTCCTTAGAAATAATAATGTTGAGACAGGCTTATGTATGACTGCATTTTGCTGACTGCGTGCGTCTATTGTTCTGATATTCTTCAGTTATTTTACTGTACATTGTACCTCCTCC